ATGGAGCATCGGGCCCGCGGCTGGTGGCTGCTGTGCGCGGCCGCTGCGCTCGCCGCCTGCGCCCGCGGGGACCCGGCCAGCAAGAGCCGGAGCTGCAGCGAAGTCCGCCAGATCTACGGCGCCAAAGGCTTCAGCCTGAGCGACGTGCCGCAGGCGGAGATTTCGGGTGAGTGCGGCGCCTCCGACCCCGTGCCCCCGGCGCTCCCCGCGCTGCCCAACCGATCGCTCTCCCGGAGCGGAGTCCCGCCGCTGCCCCGGCTCCGAGGGCCTGCGCCGCCTCCGCTCCGCGCCGCCGCCCGGCCCGGCGCGCTGCTCGGCTCCTGCTCTCCCGGGGCGTCCCCGCTCGAGGCGCTCCTGAGAGCCGGGCGGTCCCTGCCCGACGTCGGGCGGGAGAGCTGACCCGCTACGCCGGCCGCCCGCGCCGCGGGGCTCAGGACTCTCGCGTTGCCAGCCGCCACAGGCTGCGCCGCGGGGATTCCTACCGCGTCCTCAGCGAAGGTATCCTGGGCGGACTTTATAAGAGCCCCCCAACCCCAGTGCCTGGCGGGAATGGGGACCCCAAGGAAATCGGAGTTAGCTGCGCGCTTCGCGAGGAGAGGCAAGGCCTCCGCTGCTGTGAGCGGGATTCAGCTGGGAACTTGTGGCCGCGTGGCCCCGTCCCCGCCTGCGCACCAGCCCGCCGATGGCCTGCCTGCCGCGCTGGGCCACCGGGCGAGGCGAAGGCCTCAGCAGGTGGTGGGCGCTTGGACGCGCCCTGGCCATGGCGTGTCTTTGTAAGAGCGACCTTCCCATCCCGCCCTTCCCGTTCCGCGGCGGCCTTGGTCTTGTGTCCTGTATTCCCCACCCCCTGCCTCACAGGAGCTTTGGGCCAAAGTGGGCAGTGAGGGGGGAGCAGGGGCGCCCCTGTGGCCGGTGTCCGTAGGGGCTGCCAGACCACAGGCCTTACTCTTCAACTGCAAAGTGCCGAACGCACAGAGGGTCAGCACGGGGAGCCTGGGGCTCAGACCAGTGCCTGTCCTGTCCTCGGGGCTCCCCCAGCATGAAAGGGGCAGATGGGGGCCGCACACTGGGGCTGAGTTACTTCTAGCAGGGAACGATGCGAATGGGGGTCCCTGTATCAGCCTGGTGATGATGTGGCCTGTTGCACAAGGAGGGTGTCCTGCCTGCTTTCCGGGGGCCCTCCTACTTCCCGCCCAGCCTGCAGGCTCCTCAGTACTGGGCCCCAAAGCCTATGTCCCTCACCTCTCCTGATGTGGGCTCTTCAGGACTGTGGTGTTTGCCGTCACTCGAGCTGAGGTGTGAGTGGGGAACAGCCAGACCTTGGCTCTGCTATACCACTGTCTCTGCTCCCACAACACCCCCTACTCCACCACCTGCCCCCTCACGGCACCTCTACCCCTCCACCTGTTCCTCCAGGGTACCCCCAACCCTCTGCCTTTCTCCTCACAGCACCTCCACCCCTCTACTGGCCCCCCTACCCTTCTGCCTGTGTTCCCACCCCTCTGCCTGAGCACCTCCACCCCTCTAATGGTCCCCCTCCCCTTCTGCCTGTCCCTACACAACACCCCTGCTCCTCTGCCCTTGCTTGAAGCTACAGGTCTCTCTCTTCACTTAGAGAAGGGAGCTGGGGCAGCTGCCTAGGATGAGGAGAGCGAGCAGGGCAGGTGGCGCCTGTGTGGGGGCTGGTCCCTGTGTGGGGCAGGAGTTCTGTCCTTTCTGGGTGAGGGATAGAGGACTCAGGGCAGGCAGACCGTGTGGAAGTCTGTGTGTGTGTGTGTGTGTGTGTGTGTGTGTGTGTGTAAGTGTGGCCGCAGAAGTTGGCCCCAAGCTCCCTGAGGCGGCCTCTGCAGTCCCCAAGTCGCCTGCCAGACACTGCCGGACACTGGTGCCCCACCTCAGACTGTGCTGCCCAAGTGCTCCAGGCAGGGTCACCATAGCAGGCCCTGCCCCACCCCAGTGGTGACTCGACCCAGGGCCTCTTCTCCCTGTTACAGTGCACCCAACGGGGTCCCACAACTTGAGAGCACCTGCTGGGGCCCAGAGTGCGGAGGTGGGTGCTGGTACCACCCGGGGCGAGGGAAGGGGTGACCTTTGTCCAGTACAGAGCCCAGGAGCCTGGCCTGGTCCCTCCAGCTTGGCATCGTTCAGCCCGTCTCTGCATTTGGGGCGCCCTCTGGTGGCCCTGCCGCAGAATTAGCCTGATGCTCCTGACCAGAACTCGGCCTGAGTGGGACCCGCAGGGTCCTGCTGCAGCCACAGGGCCTAGTGCGACGTGCAGCCCAGGGGCCTTGCCCATTGAAGAGGGGCTGCCAGTCACTGAGCCCCACAGTGTTCAGTGCCGAGCACTGAGCCCCACTGCTCATCTGGATGGCCCAGCCAGGCCACGGTGATGACCATTGTACCATCTTACAGATGAGGGCTTGCACTTAAGGGCTCACCCTCAGGGAGGGATGTAAGGTACAAAGACAGCACAGAGCAGGTGTGTGAAGACAGCAAAAGAGAGACACTGTCCAGAGAGACACAGCGTGGAGAGCCTGAGTGAAGGGACATTGTACGGAGGGACGACATGGAGGGACATTGCACAGAAGGCCTGCGTGGAGGGACATTGCATGTGGAGGGCCTGAGTGGAGGGACACTGCGTGGAGGGACATTGTATGGAGGGACGACATGGAGGGATGTTGTACGGAGGGACGACATGGAGGGACATTGCACAGAAGGCCTGCGTGGAGGGGCATTGCGCGGAGGGCCTGAATGGAGGGACATTGCATGGAGGGCCTGCGTGGAGGGACATTGTACGGAGAGCCAGTGTGGAGGGCCTGCGTGGAGGGACACTGCACGGAGGAACACTGCGCAGAGGGTCTGAGTGGAGGGACATTGTACGAGGACCTGCGTGGAGGGACACTGCTTGGAGGGACATTGTGCAGAGACCGGTGTGGAGGGACATTGTATGGAGGGCCGGCGTGGAGGGACACTGCGAGGAGGGCCGGCGTGGAGGGACCCTGCGTGAAGGGCTGGTGTGGAGGGACATTGTGTGGAGGGCCTGAGTGGAGGGACACTGTACGGAGGACCTGCGTGGAGGGACACTGTGGGGAGGGACATTGCACAGAGGGCCTGAGTGGAGGGACATTGCATGGCGGGACATTGGGCGGAGGGATGCGATGCGCAGTGGTGGTGAGAACAGAGTGCTTTATGAACACACAGGACACCACCCCAGGGGCATTGCTCGGAGAGACAATGTGTGAAAGAGCTGGAGTGGAGGGACACTGGGCGCTAGGAGCTGATGCACAGCCCTGCCGAGACACACACACCTGCAGCAGGTCTGCACCTCTGCCAGGAGTGTGGCTTTTGGCCCACAGGTGTTTCCTGAGCACCTGCTTGCTCTGGGTCCTGTCCACCCCTGTTGTGCTGGCCCAACGCACTGCGGTTCGTCAGTCCTTTTCTTGTTTGTCTCCGGAGCAGGGATAACATCTGTCTAAGTGCTCGTCTCAGGGTCTATGGTCAGGGGCAGGGCCTGTCCCCTTGGGTCCAGGCATAGGGGTATCTGCCAAGTATTTCCCGCACACACACCCTGGCACAGAGCATGCCCTCCTGCAGTTGCAGCCTTCTTGGCAGGAGGTGCGCAGTAGGACCTCTTGAGGAGACTGGCCCTGCGGCCGGAGGACAGGGAGGTGGAGAAGGTACGTTACTGAAAGCATGAGCAGGGCAGACGTGCTTGCTTCTGTGTCCTGGGAGCCGACCCAGAGGAGATCATGGGAGAGTGTCCTGAGAGACTAGCGTTGGTCCCAGCTGTGACTGCCCCTGTTCACAGAATGAGCTTCTCAGTCCCCAGGGGCTCAGTGTGGCTGGCGCCCCTGTATAGCCTGGGCTTCCGGCCATCCGGCTCCTGTCCCTGCGCTGCACAGGGAGATGACAGTTTCATCATCCTCAGCTCGAGAAGAGCCTGGCTCCATCCTGTGGCAGGGGCATGGGAGAGGGACCCAGGGCCACCGGTGTGATTCAGTGTCCTGGCCCTTTGCTGGATCACACAGCACAGTGGACTGTCCATCTCCTCTGGGTGGCCTGCTGCTCATGACCCTTGTGCCACTTGGGAGGATTATGTGGAGACCCTTAGCCTGGGACATGCTCTCTCCCTAACCCCCCAAGTCCCTAGATGAGTGTTCTCTCAGCAGGCGGTGGCACCCCCACATGCAGTCAGGTGCTGGGTGAGGATGGGGAACCCCACAAGTGGACAGCTTGCTAACTTCTGCACCATGGAGCCAGTCCCAGTGAGGTCAGACATGTCCCCACGCACCACCCCGGCTTCTCACGGTTCCAGCACCATCTGCCCTGCCCCTCCATGAGTCACACGCCTCTACTGCTGTGGTCACACAAACTTACAGGCAGTGCTGATGACTGGGGTTTATGAGGACTCGATTACAGTTCTTCACTGAGGACTGCCTCTTCTTGGGCGTGGTCCCGAGTGGACCTCTCTCTCAGGGTGAGTGTTACAAAGCTCTTTCAGTTCTGCCGACGGTGTGCCGCCCAGCCCCCCGGAAAGCCTAGGCCAGAAGCTCAGCTTGAGCTCCGTGGGACTCAGACCCAGTCACTCCCTCCCACACTGCTGTGTCTCCTGCTCTCTCTGCTCCTGTCACCATCTCTCTCTCTGTCTCTTCTATGATTCGTGCAGGAGATTCTGGATCAGTGAAAGTCTCAGACTCCGGTTCTTTCTTTGTGATGCAGTGTGCTTCCTGTTTTCTGCCGGACAGGATGGCGAACTCTCTAATAGCACATTGCGTTTTGTACATGTTATCTGCATGTTTCCACCTAAAAGATGCTGTTTGCCTTATAATATTAGTGACCTATCCCATCTGGTTGGTGGGCCGCAAATATCTAGTATTTGAATAGTCCTGCCAAGCCATACAAAATTCTACCAAGTTGCTAGGAGGGGTTATTCCTTGGAGAGGGACATCGTGCTTGGAAAGGTGTAGAGATGACGAAAGAAAGGGAGAGCTTCAGGCAGATGGATTGTACGAAGGCTGCAGTGTGTCAGATGAGGTGAGGATGGTGCTGGACAGAGCAGTGTTCAGATCATTTGTTCACAGGGTCGCTGTGAGTCATACTCTACCCAGTGGCACCTAACAACAACACGTCATGTTCATAGGTTTTTGAAGACCTGTTGTTTCAGAA